CCTCTCCAGATCCATATAGAACGCTTCCAACTCCTCTTCTCCGTAGCTCGATGTTGGTGCGTAGGCAACGAAGATGGTCAGAGCTGGGGTTGAGCCACATCTTTTTAATCGCAAACGTCCGATTCGGGTTGTTAGGCTTTCGTACGAATCGATATTCATGGCCAAGTGCGTATTGACGAGGCACCTACGCCGCCGACGCCTGTGCTGTCGCATGTTCCAAGGAATAGTTCTTCTCCAGTCTCAAATACAGCGTGCAGCGGGCGATGCCTTCTGTCTCAGTCAGTCCGATGACGTCGTACTTGATCTTCCTAGCTCGCATCATCAGGTCTTCTATACACGCTTCCTATGCAAGCGTCCGTGCGTTGAAAGTACAGATCGCCATCTTAGTCATTCTCCTTTTAGGCAGCCTGTTTTGGCCCTGAGATTTTAGCAGCCTCTCTCGAACGGTCCTACCCAACGCTGCCGTATTGGAGGCTACCGCAGGTCCAGGGGAATGAGGCCCATTTTTATTACTGTTTTTGGCGTGTGAAAAAAACCCATCGTGTAGCTTGCCAGGCTCTGACGTGGGGGTTTGGACAACAGGCTTTGTTTGTAGCGGCGGCCCCGAATCGCCTCCCAGATACTTCCCAGTCACTCGAATGCAAGCTTTTGGTCGAGTCGATGGGCAGGATACCAACTGCACCCACAGACTCTCCACACACGTATGCGTGGATACGCCTGCGAGAAACAGAGGGTATATCGACCCAGCACAGCAGAATCAAGGAGTCCATCCCCTGAATCAACCTGCGTCTCTGGGCAAGTACCGGAGACTTGGTCGGCGATTAATTCCCCTATCCGCCACCTGGGGACGCCCTACGTAGCCTCGTCACTAACCGGCTGGAGATCCTTCAGTGAGAGAGAACTCAGTGAAGGAGATCCGTAGCAATTTAACTTACTTGCCTTTATCTTTGAAGTTACGGTTGCAAATATAGCGCGCTGTACTTATCAGCCACCCTGTATAGACAGCATATACACACATTTCTTGCACACATACCCACATACACACATATGCATAGATATATACACATAAACACATGTGCACACCTTAAGGCAATGAAAAAGATTCACTTGTTTAAGCAGTTCTGGGGTTCCTAAACATGGAGGGCTGTAACTAGTCTATATGATGCGTAAAAGGGTTTTGGAACGCTCTATTAAAGAGCGAAACAAGCGCACACATGAAGGACTCGAAGCTCCGTGTCACGCCTACTGTCCACCGTCCTCCCAACTGTGCTATCGTTGCACGTTTGACTAATGCTCGGTTCGCTTATAACAGCAAATCACTGGCATGACGACACCCGGAGAAAATGGACCCATAAGTTTGTTCACAGAATCGTTTCGCAGATTTGGTAACGGATTACATATGAGCGTTTGGAAGCAAGTAGTTGGTTTACATCTCGTCTTGAATGGCCACTGCGAACTGGTATCCTTCCCTTGTTAGCACATCATAGGATGATCCATCAAGGTGATGCAGTCTCAACACACGTTTACTTCAGCCAATTTCCTTATCCGCTTCTATCATGATGTTGTATGCCTTTGCAGTTTGATGCGCCATCGAACTTTTTATGGCAGACTTTGTTTATTAGCAAAAAATGGGTTCGAACGATTCTTCAGAGTGGGTTCCTCCTTCTATTTAGAGCTTAATGGTGACTTGAGTACGTCACTTTTTGTGCAGTGATGAAATATCCTCTCACATGAATACACATTAGTCACAAACATTATTGATTTGGACTGCGTTTGTTATAAGAGAGAGCTCTGTTGATCCACGATCGAGAATAGGCGTCCGACAGGCGTTCGGAAAGAATCGAGGGCTTCAGGGTATGACTCTACTTACTGGGCTGAACTCTTTTACAAGGCGATAAAAAAATTGGTTTCATTTCATGGAGCAAAGATAGATTTCATCAGAGAGCTTATCTTTCAGTCCTCTATACCTTTTCTGGTTCTTTTGGCTATCATAAACGTATTGTTACTTAGAGAATTGTCGAAAAGAGAAGTAGCAATGGGCAGGTCGGCCCATTTGTTTTTAGTGTGCATTTCACTTTAGTGATGAGATTTTTACAGTCATGCTGTACTTGGATCTGCCTTCTGGTTGCTTGACATTAGTGCCATATTTCAGCTCATCCATCATGCCTTAACTTCAATGGAAACGTTCCCGTCATCATTAAGCGCTACGGATGGCAATGTATTGAGTGCAAGAGTTGTACTATTTGTGGAACCTCAGAGAA